CCTACGACACGGACGCGGGCCCCGTGTTTGTCAAGGTCAACCGCAGGACGCAGGTGCGGACCCCTGCGCGGGGCCAGGGGACGGGGGGCGGCCGTTTCCAGGGCTCGGTGTCGCCGCCCGCTGGGGTGAGCCTGCGGCCCTGGGGAGCTGCCACCTGCAGAGTGAGCCCAGGTCAGCATTCTCCTGGGGCCCGAGGTGTTTGTGGTCGCTGCACGACAAATTCCCCCTGCTTTTGCCTCCACGCACAGGCTTTTTAGGTTGTTTTAATTTTTCTACCCATCAAGCGTGAGGGGAGGTGACACCTGGGGTCCCGGGCGGCTTCTGCCACTCCCCCAGGCTCAGCCTAGGGTCCTCCTAAACAGGTGGGACGGGAGGGAGCTGGCCAGGTCCCTGCGAGGCACCGCGAGGCCTTCCCTCCTTACAGCTGTGCTTGTGCTCAGCCCTGGTCTCTATGGCCTGCTTAAAATATTTCTGTCCGTGAGTGTGTGGAAGATGGTAACCCTTTCAAATGGAGAAAGCCTCAGGCCCAGAGAGCAGGCAGCTAGGACAGGCAGAGCCTGGCACTCCCCTGCCCCGGGTGGGCTCACGAGGCCCCTTTGAGGTGCCACCGTGGTTGGTGTGCGAGAGAATCCCAGAGCAACCCCTCCCAGTCCCCTCCAGCAGCACCACCTTCCTGGGGATGGGGCTGAGGTCGTCTGCATCCTCTCTGCACAGACCCTCAGGGTGACGATCCCTCCCACCAGGAAGCCATTCTTGGTTGAGCTTCATGCCCTGGAACCTTCGCAGCTGGTCCCTGAAAGCTCCTGCAGGTTGAGACCCCACCTTTCCCTCTCGAAACTCTCAGTGCCTGCACACAGTAGGTGTTCTGACAGTGCACGAGAGCAGTTGAGGCCCCTTCAGACGTGAGCAGGCTGAAACCCAGGTGTGCTCTGCCCCTATGTTTGGGGGTTCACCCTGGGAGCAGGGCTGGGGGTTGCTGGATGTCCTACTCCGTGATTCCAGCAAGTCAGCCACTGGGGGGATGCCGTGCCTTGTTTTCTCACTGGGCACTCCCCTTGGGTGGAGTTCTTTTCTTGTGTGGTGATAGATGCTTTGGTCTCATTCACGAGGTTTAATTTTTTTAAACCTGCAATTCTGTAGGCAGAAGTATTCACAAACCACGTTAATAAACACATGCCTGTAAGTGAGGTGTAGCGTACATAAGATGAGAGTTCACCTAATTTAAAATGGGGGTATTTGTGGGATTTTTTTGGAAATAGGAAGGCCCTTAGACCCCGTGGAGGCTTTGTGGGGTTGGCTGGGTGATGGACCCTGGTCTTGAGGCCAGGCGGCTGACCTCCCATCCCCTCCTTCGCTGCCCTGGGTGTGTGCTGAAGTCACTTCCACTAATGCCTTGGCCCCATTCGCTGTGGCTGCTCACAGCTGCTCCACCCCAAGAGGGATCCAGGAAGGCAGCTAACCTGGAGGGGACTCAGCCCTAGCCCCAGACCCTTGATTAGCTTGCTCCTGCCCTACACCCCCATGCCTCCCGGGCAACCCCAGCACCCTTGGGTACCCCCATGTGGCCTGTGCTTCCTCATCTCTCACAGCAAAGGCTTGCTGTTGGGTGACAGCATCCTGCCCTGCTCCAAAACTCCCAAACCCCAGGCTCAGCCTCATCTCTGCAACCCCTTCATATCTGAAGGGACCACTTTGCACCCCACTATCTGAGGGGTGAATGCCTTGCTCCCTAGCTGGTTTTCAGTAGCCGGAAGTCCTGGGGGTTCTCATTCCCATGTGGAGGCTCTGTCACGGGCTGCGAGTCACACAGCCGGGCTGGCATGGTATTGGAGCTTGCAGACCTGACGAAACTCACAGTGGTGTTCTGGACACAGGCCCGGCAGATGTTTGAGGGGGAGATGGCAAGCCTGGAGGCCCTCCGGAGCACGGGCCTGGTGCGTGCACCGCGGCCCATTAAGGTGATCGACCTGCCAGGTGGTGGGGCCGCCTTTGTGATGGAGCATTTGAAGATGAGGAGCTTGAGCAGGTGAGTACATGTGTGGGCGTGTGTGTGTGTGTGTCTGAGAGAGAGACAAACAGACACACACAGAGACACAGACAGAGAGAGAAGACAGAGGGAGACAGAAATAGAGCCAGAGACACAGAGAGGAAAACGGAAAGGGAGCAGGCTCTTGCTGAGCTGCCCACACGTCTCTGCCCAGTTACCAGAGGCAGGGCCAAGAGTGCCCTCCTACCTTTCTTTTTTTTTTGGCAGCTGGCCGAATTTTTTTCTAAAAAATTTAAAGCCATACATATTTATTGTATAAACTGTAGAAAATACAAACTTGTGTAGATAAGTCATAAAGCCACCATAACTCCATCAGCAAGGAATGGCCACTGTTAACATTTTGGCATATAATTATCATCCCAGTCTTTTTCCTATATGTGATTTACGTTTGTTTTTAGCACAACTGGGGGCTGATTTTTTACCTAACATTACGTTTTGGGCCTTTGTCCCTTCATTCCTGGTACCTCCTAAGATTCCTGTTGGAATTCACCTGCTTCTTGGTGATTTTATACTATTTTGGTTTTGGGAAAGGGTCGTTGTTTGGCATTCATATTTTACTTTTTTAAAAATGGAGAGTAGGGGCTGGCCTGTGGCTCACTCGGGAGAGTGTGATGCTGATAACACCAAGGCCCCGGGTTCGGATCCC